TCAGCTGAGCGGTGTGGGAAGGATCTGAGCAAAACTGTGAAACTGTAGAAAAGTCCGCACGAAATTCTGGCTCAGACATTCGCCTGGTATCATTTAAAGTGTGGTAATCAATTTGTTGTCGCTCAGATGCCCATCTATCCTTGTAAAAGAAGACCCAACAACAGGCGTGCGTTAGTTGTAACAAGGAGAGCACTAACCTGTCAGCAGAGGGCGCTAGAGGGACATTGTGGATCATATTTCTACTTCTTGTAGCTACCAGCTATTAGTTCCTGGGCATTTGTATTAATTACTGCGAGGGGCTCTGTCCTGTCACACACCAAGACTGCACTTTTTGAGCTCACCAACTGACCGACTCACAGTAGAGTGTCTCCTAGAGCCCGACTCTCTCTGTGCACCTACGGTGCTCCTCCTCTGGCCTGGACAGGACAGGCAACAGACCATCCACCAGGCCCGCCCCAGGGACCTTTCCTGCAGTAGACTTGCTTCCCGCCTCTAGAGATCACTTCCTTTCTACTTCCTCCAGTCTTCTCCTCTGTTCTTTGAGCTGGAGGGTATTGCCTTAAAAACGGGTCCTTGAGTATGAGCCGGTGTCAGTTTTTGTAAATAAAGACTTAATGGAATGTAGACACATTTCCTCTCCGGCTCTCTGATGTTTTGATACTGCCATGGTAGAATGGAGTCCTTGTATCAGAGCCTTAAGTGTCGCTGAATTCTCTACTCTGGCCATCTGATCTTTCATAGAATAAAGTTCACTGGCCTCTGCTTTAGTTCTTACCTCTTTTCTCTCACTTACAAAGTCGCTGCGTTGCTACAAGTATCACAGCAATTATTTATTGTGCTATTTATTGGCTCAAATTGTAAAGTCATTTCTGTCTCCTGGTTGGACCTTGCTATGGTTACTGTCTTGCTACACTACAACCCAGAGAATCAGTACCATTTCAGTTCACAAAAGACGCAGCGAATTCCATTCCCAGGCCAGAAAAATCTCCAAAAACAAGAAAATTCCGTGGGTCTGGCTGCTTCCTACTATGTGGGAAAGAGGGAAAAGCAGGGAGATTAATCATAAATTAATTCTACGCTAGATCATCTCACCATGTCCACGCTGCTTCATTTGTTGCCCTGGAGCGTAATCCAGACGCCTAGTATATAATAGAGACTTAGTAACTGATTTTGGACAAATGATCAATATGTACACGATTCTGAGAGAAAATGAAAACAGATCATGCAGTATTTTCCTTCCAACAGGAAGAAATGAAGCAATAAAATGGCGATTAAGCATGGGACATTTTCCCACTCAAATATTTACTCAGATCACATGAAAATTATAAGAGAAACACAAAGAAAAGAGATGTGTCTGGGAATACATTATCTTAAGCTATATATGCAAATGGAGTGGAAAACGCAACAAAAAATAATTTTCTCCTGAAACCTTCCGATAATTGAGTTAGGCACTGAATTTTCAGTTTGCATTAGCTGGGCAGAGCCCAGCCCTTTGCACGGGGAGGCCCAGTCACACAGGGCACACGCTGGGTTCACTTCAACAAGCAGCTGTGGACGGAGGTCAGTTCTTATTTTACTTAGCATTGTTCCCTCATTCTGAGATCACACTCTGCTAATTACTTGCAGGAGCAGCTCTCGTTAAGAAGAATAACTCATTTGCATGGAAGAAGAGTCTACAGACTGCTCCTTCGGCTTTACCCCCTGCTTTTCTTTTTCTCCGATTTGGGAGGACCCGGAAAGCAGGAGCATGCAATCAAAGCACTTCAAATCCCTGATTTCTTGTTTCCTAAACATTCAAACTCCTTTTTGTGGGCAGAAATTAGCCTTTCCCACTGAATTGAAAGGCGAATTTGCATTTTACTGTATCCTCTTTTCAAAGCAAGCAGTGCAAGTCCTTCACACATATGTCTCTCACACAAGCGAGCGCTTTGGAGCGCTTTGGGACGGTGAGCCTGCCTGGCTGGGGCTGATCTTCATGACAGCGTGGAAAGTTTTGGACACCACAGTGATATTTTCTCTACTATTTACAAAAGCAGAAAAGAATTTGACACGTTTTGAGCCCTGCCATTGGTTCAGTGCCTTGGAAGCCACCCATAAGCCTTTCTAAACAAACAACCCGACTAGGGTCGGGCGCAAAATACTTGTTAGCACATTTCACCCCCACGAAGGATTGAGTTTTCCTATGTACACCCAATGAATTCAAGGAATGCATTTCTTTCTGGACCTTCTTACTATGTCTGAAATGTAGGTCACTCAGCAGTAAGAAAACAAAACAAATTTCTCTTGTCACCAGCAGCAACTTAGTGAGTAACTGTTAGTACGTACTGGCAATCTCATGGAAAAATACGGAATGTCAACTAGCTAGCATGTTTTGTTGAACTCAACCCATAGGTTAAGGGTCTCATCTCAAGCTTGACTGCCCATTGGGCATTAATCTTAAAACAAAGTAGTGATGTCATGCCCACCCCACAGAGGATCGATACCTTGTTTAGCATGTAGTTAAGCTTTGGGGATTCCAAAGCCCTTTTCAAAGTTGTAATGAATGTGGAGAACCACTCACTCAGCTTGGAGGATGAATGCATCTTGCCCTATAGGGACCTCCAGTCATGGAGATGGTCACTCACTGTGTTAGAAGCTGCTTCACACAGCAGGAGGAAGAACTTGGTGTCCTCTTAACCTGGGAATCTATGATGACCCCACAGAACTGAGGTCCAAACCCCTAAGAAGAGGATTGGCGCTGGTATCCCTAGATGAATGGTCAGGCAACCTACTTTGAATGTCTTAGTTACAGTCTATTGCTGTGAAGTGATGTCACTACCAAGGCAAATTATAGAAGAAAGTGTTCGATAGGGGACTTGTTGGAAATTTCAGTAGGTTTGTTCATGACCACCTTCATGACTGGGACTGTGGGCAAGCATGGTGTTGGAGCAGTAGCTGAGCATTTGCATCTTATCTACAAGAGGGAGACAGGGAGAGAGAGAGAGAGAGAGAGACAGAGACAGACAGACAGAGAGAGAGAGAGAGAGAGAGAGAGAGAGAGACTGAGAGACATGGGTTTTTGAAATTTCAAAGCCCACTGCCAGAGACACACCTCCTCTGACAGGACCACACCCCCTAATCCTTCCTAAATAATTCCATTAACTGGGACCCAAGCACTCAAATATATGAGCCTATGAGGGCCATTCTCACTCAAACTACCATATGGAATAAGGAAAGAAAAGATGTCCTTAAGTGTGTGAGTCAATTGTGGATGCCCAGGAAAAGTCATTGCTGGGCAGACTGAAGGGGCAGAGGAGGAGGAGGAGCAGGAGGTCATCTTTGCCTTTTCTTCCTTCTCTCTGTCAGTATCGCTCTGAGACCTCTAAGTATAACACCCACATCTCGGCATCACTTATATGAAACACCTAAGATTTGATTTTGAGGGAATTCTGAAACACTTGCATATGTTATATAATGGGACACACTGGAGACAGAGGGCACAATCTAAACAAAAAATTCGTTTAATTTTTTTGATCCTGCATACACATAGCCCTAAGATTTTTTAGTGTGCCTCTTTTTGGACCGCACCATGGCAAACCAGGGCAAGTGTGACCTTTTCCACTGCAGGTCTTCACGGTGCTGCGGCTCTGTCAGATTTCGGAGGTATTTAAGATTCTGTTTTGTAGAATGTAACTGACCCAAAGAAATACAGCTTGCCAAGCACCAAACCCAGCTGGATCTCCAGGCAGATGATGAAGGGTGGAATTTGAAAGCTGCATATAATCGCTGGGAGATATGTAACATTGGCATTAAAAATGAGCATTATATGGTGAGGTAGCTCAATTGGTAGAGGGCTTGGGACATGCATCACTCCCTGGGCTTAATACCTTACTCTATAATCTGAACATAGTGGCACATACTGATACTCTAACTATTTGAGATGACTGGAGAACCAAAAGTTCAAGGTTATTCTCAATGACACAGCTGCCTGGAGGACAACCTGAAACACATGACACTCTTTCTCAAAACTTAAAAGGAAGAAAAAGGAAGGAGATGTTTCTAGAGACTGGAGAGAGGGCTTGTCTGGTAACTGTCAAGAATGGTGACCTTAGTTTGAGCTTCAGAACCCACATGGTAGAAGAAGAGAACTGGCAAGTTGTCCTCTGACCTCCCTCCAAACACACCATGCAGCAAGGAATTATAAAACTCAACCCTTCATATAGTTGACTAACAGAGTTTTAGCAAGTAGGGCTGCACAGATCCTGTGAGTATCATTGTTCATCCACACTTGTAGTAGATGTGCAAATAGCAACAGGTAGGCAAGGTAGGCACGCCCTGAAGGGTTTTTTTTAAAGTATTTAATTTTATATTTTAAAAAATATCTTATGCGTATGGATGTTTTTCCTACATATAGGTCTGTGCACCACATGCACAGGCCAGAGGTCCTGGAAATCAAGTCCATGTCTCTGGAAGATCAACCAGTGCTCTTAATAACTGAGATGTCTCTCTAGAACTGTACTAAATTATCTATCTATCTATCTATCTATCTATCTATCTATCATCTATCTATCTATCTATCTATCATCTATCTATCTATCTATCTATCTATCTATCTATCTATCTATCTATCTACCTACCTACCTACCTACCTACCTACCTATCTATCTACCTACCTACCTACCTACCTAC